TTGAATTTCATCTAAGAAAGGATAGAAAAGAAAGAGCAATGTACCTTGATGCTCATTCTTTCTGAAATAGCACATAGCAAAAACAAACTGAAGTTTTATATTGAACCTTTCACTTAATACCTCAGTAAACTCAAATCTAGTTTGTTTTAATGTCAGGTACTCTTCTTCATTTTATAGATTATGAATCAGGATATTTAAGGTGACTCATAAAACAGTTAATGTCTAGAAACAGTGTTGAGTATAGTTCTCAGAAAAATTAAAAGAGAGAAAAATAATTTTTTTTTTTTTTTTTGAGACAGAGTCTCACTTTGTTGCCCAGGCTAGAGTGAGTGCCGTGGGGTCAGCCTAGCTCACAGCAACCTCAAACTCCTGGGCTCGAGCGATCCTTCTGCCTCAGCCTCCCGAGTAGCTGGGACTACAGGCATGAGCCACCATGCCCGGCTAATTTTTTTTTTATATATATATCAGTTGGCCAATTAATTTCTTTCTATTTATAGTAGAGACGGGGTCTCGCTCTTGCTCAGGCTGGTTTTGAACTCCTGACCTTGAGCAATCCGCCTGCCTCGGCCTCCCAAGAGCTAGGATTACAGGCGTGAGCCACCGCGCCCGGCCGAGAAAAATAATTTTTAAAGTACATTGGGTTTGTATGAGAGGAATTAAGCAAAGGGGGTGTCCTTACAACTTTTGGGAGGTCTTTATTTTAACATTAATTAGAGGCAGCATAACATGGAAAGAACTTGGACTTTGAAATCAGGCCCAAGTTCAAATCCTAGATTTCTTGTTAGCTGTGTGATCTTAAGAAGTCACTTAACCTCTCAAAACTTTGCTTTCCTCATTTATAATAATAAAGTTGTAAACTGTGTATTAAATGAAATAATGTATAAAACGACCTAGCACACAGTTTGGGAAGATGAAAAGTGCTGAAGAGAGATGGTGATGATAGTTCCACAGTATAAATGTGCTTAATACTACTGTACTATACACCTAAAAACATATATTTTTATGTTATTTTACCACAATTAAAAAAAGACCTACCTAGCATATAGTAAACACTTACTATATGCTAATTGTCCTCTTGCCTTCTTTAGAGATGGAATTTTCTTTAATTCTCAAAAAAGATCAAGTTGTGTAGATGGGGATATCCCATAAAACTGTCTTAAATTGTATTCATAATTTACAATAATGTTTACATTTTGATTACCCTTTGATTCAGCCACACTTGGACTTCATTCTTATTTGGAACTATTCTGCCTCCAAGATCTTGAAATAAGAGCTTCCCATCTCTGACCACTATCTGTATCTCATCTACAGCTATCACTCCCAAGTCTGCTTTGTCACCTCATTTAGACCTCCTGTCTTTATCCTAGCTCTATTCTTCTGAGTTGGCAGAGCCTTATTACATTTGTTTTCTTGTGTGCTACATCCGCAATTACAGTGTCCTCTCAAACAATCCTAGATTCTTTCCCCTTAATCTTTTGCCATGTGCACCTTCCCAAGCTCCAGTCATACTTTCTTTTCATGCCTGGGTTGCTGAACTTTATCAGGGAAAGCTCTCAAATAAGACCATTGGCACAAAGCTGTCTCGTTTAATTCAGTCCTCACGGCATCCCTGGGGAAGTACTATATTACCCATAGCAATGACACTTGGTTAGGTATATAGATTTGGGATTTAAACCCAAGCCTGCATTCTTTGTATTCCTTTGGCCCTGTTCTCTGCTGTGTGCTCACTTTTTTTTTTGTTGGTTTTTATTTACTATCTGATACATTCAGATCTTTTCTGCTCCCCTTAAACCTTGAATCTGACCCCCAACACATAGTAGATAATTAAACCTACTTTACTGAAACAATTGAGGGCATCCAACAGAATCTCCTTCAACATTATTTTCTACATATGCACTCTGACTTCTCTGCCTCCTCATTGCTAATATAATACCCTCTATGTTACTGTTCTGTTATCTCTCCAGGGCCTTGCTTTATAATTTAGTCCTATTCTTCCTCCTTCAAGATATTCTTTCATACTAATTCTTTTCCCTCTATTTTATAAAAAAAAAAAAAAAACTGAAAAATATCCATTAGATTTAGCAGTTGTATGGTAATTGGTGATCTTAGCAAAAGCCATGTCAGGGGAGTAATCCGTATAGATTCCAGGAGGCAGAGAGTTAACTGAATAGGAGCTATGGAATTGAAAATGTTGAGTACAGACTTCTCTAAAGAGGGCTTACAATGAAATAGGGAAGAGCTGTGTAATTGAAGGACAAGTTTTTGTTTTTTTATTTTAAAGGGATAGAGTAGGTTTAACCATGATTAGATGCTTTAAAAAAGGGAAAAGGGAGAGGTTTGTGGAGTAACATCCCAGTATGGGGTCCGTGGGATTATTCTCAAATGTCTTGGAATACAAACATTATCAATCTTTATAAGTCTAGCTGAAATGATTCCTCTCTGAAACTTTTCTTGATTGGCTCAGCAAGAAGTTTTTCTTTCTTCTCTGATTTCCTGTAGTATCTCTTATATCTCCCATGGTATTTAACACATACTCTCTTGAATTCTTTGATCAACATTGTAATTATTAGGAGCCATACTGTCTGGGTGTGATCCTGGCTTCACCACTTACTAGCTGTGTGATTTTGAGCAAATTATTCTCTCTGTACTCAATTTTCTTATCTATAACATGGGATGACAGTAGTAGCTGTATCATTGTTATGAGGATTAATATTTGTAAAGCTCTTAGAACATGCATTTTTCTCCTATGAAATTATATGGTCCTTAAGAAAAGGAATCTGTTCTTTGTATTACTTAACATTCCCAACAATCCATACATATTATAGTTCAAAGTTTGATTTTTGGAGGAATTTGTTAAATGATGGAATATATTCTGCATTTGTTAGTTAGCCAGTGGGCGTAAGAATCAAATTGAAAATTATTGTATCCATGCGTATTTTCTTCCCTACGGTGATACTCAGACCCTAACGTAGGACCAAATGCCAGACAGGTGCTGAATCTTGATGATTTTAGCCAGGAATACTTGGGCAAGGATGTGGGATAGGAGGAAGAGTGAGAATTACAAGTAGAAATAGGAAGTAGTAGTCAACAGGCAATAAAACACTCTATTATAAACATTACCACATTATTTAGGCCAAGAAAGCCCTCAATGGGAGTTATAAATATTCCCTGGAATAGTCAAGTCTAGTCACCATCCAAGTAGTATCATTTGTCTTCTTTGAGCAACACCAAACCAAAGTAGTTTCTGTGACTAGAATCTTAGTGAGTGGGAAGCAGTAGGGTAAATAGGATAATAGGAATGCTTGGGAAAGGCTCTACCTAGACTGGCTAAGGGACAGAGGAAGAAGAAAAACTAAATCTCTACTTTTAGGCAACTGTCTGCCTGTTGACTTATTTTGTTTTTTCTCTCTAAATTTATTATTATTATTATTGAATTTCTGAACTATAAGGAAATCTCTAGAGTAGGGATGGAAATATTGGTTTCATCCTGTGAGCGTCTGATATGTGGTACTGAGAAAGAATGCCTTGATCAGTTAGTAGTGTCTCCCATAACTAAGGAGAGGGTTGGCATGAGAGCCTATTCCCTGCAGTGTCTCCTATGCTGGGGACTGAACAAAAGATTAATGTATTACCTGGGCAATAGTTACATAGTTCATTCTGTGATGTTTAATTGTATAGAAAACTACTTGTGACACTGACATTTTTGACTTGCAACCTTTAAATGTCATAACTCAAATGAGTTCTGGTTACATCTGTCCATTTAGCTTGACTTTTTTATTGGAAGTTATTTTTGCAATATCTTGGCTTTCAATGCTGTCCCATTTTGGCCTTTGAATGGGATTTATGTTCAGCACCTTAGCTGTCTTTACTGTGCACCTAGTTCCTTTCATTTCTTTTTTGTTTAATCTGTTTTGTAGTCTTTAGAAGGTGCTTTTGCTGAGTCACTTCAGAAATATCTTACAGAGTTTTCCCATCCTGTGGATTCGTTTGCAATTATGTTTGTCCCTCTTTATACTTGGGTTTGTAAGAGCTTTTTCCTCCCACTTTTTAATCCATGACGGCCAAATGTGATTTCTGATATTGCACACCAAAATTGTTCCTGGGTTAAATCACTTGATCTACATAGTTCACATCCATGCTACAGTATAACTGCTTTCTCAGAAATTAAGGCAAAGGCTGGGTGCAGTGGCTCACACCTGTAATTCTGGTACTCTGGGAGTCCGAGGTGGGTGGATCATTTGAGTTCAGGAGTTCGAGACCAGCCTGAGTAAGAGCAAGACCCTGTCTCTACTAAAAATAGAAAGAAATTAGCCGGACAACTAAAAATAGAAAGAAAAAATTAGCCAGGCATGGTGGTGCATGCCTGTAGTCCCAGCTACTCAGGAAGCTGAGGCGGAAGGATTGCTTGAACCTAGGAGTTTGAGGTTGCTGTGAGCTAGGCTGATGCCACAGCACTCTAGCCTGGGCAATTGAGTGAGACTCTGTCTCAAAAAAAAAAGAAATTAAGGCAAAAAGTCTTATTGGTCATATAAAGAGAAATACAAGCTAGTTATAATCTCTGCCTTCAAGGAGCTTGTGGTCTAGTTGAGAAACCAGACTTAAACATGAAGATTAAAACATTCAGGTAATAGTTCTAGTAGTAGGCCATAAAGGAATACATCATTAAATTATATTACTTGTACAGACTATGCAATTAATGACTTTGGAATTTAGAGAAGGGATTTACTAAAGTCCAGGTTAGCCAAGGAAAACTTTATTGGGCTGGTAGAATTAGAACTTAGTCCTGAAATATGAGTAAATTTTGGATAAGAGAATAATCCAGATTTCTTGTTGATGAGTTTCACATTACTTTGTTCTTTAATTTTATTTCTTAAAGAAAAAATCTTTATGTGAACTATTCCCTTTTAATTATATTTTCTATTTTATGTAGTTTTAATAAACACTTGAAAGTGTTTGACATGTCAGGTGCCGTCAATTTTCTATTTCTGTTTTTGTTACAGGCATCCTGATTTTCAGCTGCTAAAGGAAGGACAAAGGTACAGTTGAATCAGTATCACACTTTCTAAACATTCATGTTAATAGAAATGTTAGGAGAGAACCAGGTGATACAAGCTCTTGGACTTCCTGTGCTCATGCATTATATAAGTGTCCCATTCTAGCCCAAACAGAGAAATATTTGACCTGTTCAGCTTTTTCTTTTGTGATAGTAAGATGACATGTTTGATCTGTATGATTTATTGTACAGCTGTTCCTACTGAGGAAGTCTAATTGAACCTGTTGAAATATGACACAAACATAGCCTCCATCTCAGATGCTGTGCTTTGTTTGTCAGCTAGATCGTGCCAATTACATTTGTTGAAAGGTTTTTATAGTTTTACAGGATTTCAAAACATCAGTTAATTGTTTGAAAGAGTGTCTGAAGCATTCAAATTGTGATTTCTTTTCCTCCTAAATTCTCCTCATGGCATTGCTTGCCCAACCATGGCCATCTCTCAAAACACATCCTTTAACTTTCAGAATAAATGTTCCTGGTTACTAGTCATTGCCTTAGACACATGGAATTGAGCATAAGTAAGAGATATTTATTTATTGATGTATATCTTTAATTTATAGCTTTAAACTACTATAGAAAAAATATAATTGCCTTAAAATTCCAAACGAAAGTATGAAATATATGAAAGTTACATTCTAAAATTTTAAAAATTATGTCTATTAACATTCCTTCTGATCCAAGAGACCATTCAATGGTTATAAAGGCTAGATTCTAACTAAAAAGTGGTATTTAATTCTGAACAGACTTGTCATGTTTCCTCTATTCCTATCCACTACCTTGCTTTCAAATTTTTCCCCCTTATTTTTATATTTTACATTTCACCCTAGAATGTTTCTTGACCCAAAATTCCCAGCCAGATCTTTTATTAAAGTTCTGATATATATGTTTGCTTGAGAGCAACTGCCCACCTATCCTTCTTTACGTTTGTACTGGCAAAGCTACTCTGTCTTCACTCTTTCATAATTCTTGATCTTACTTAAACCTAATCTGAAAATTGAAGAAAATAATCAAAGGGACAACTTTTGTTTTTTATTGTTAGCATTCTATTCTAACACTGGATTTCCAAATTTAAATATCTTTCATTGAAAAATGTTGATTTGCCAACTTTATTTTCTGCTATGACTATCTTATGTTTTTCATTCTGGTTTTTACCTGTTCTCTTGCTCTGATTGTTTATATAACCTTTTTTTAAAAAAAGTTCTGCTTTTGAAAAACTTCATTACTGGCCTCTCAAAAAAATATATTGTAAGAATTTTCTGTATGATAATCAGTTTGAATAAGAAAATGCTTACCTGGCTGGGTGCAGTTGCTCACACCTGTAATCCTAGCACTTTGGGACACTGAGGTGGGAGGATTACTTGAGGCCAGGAGGAGTTCATGTTAGCCTAGGCAACATAGTAAGACCCTGTCTATGTAAAAAAATAACAAAAAAATTTTTAAAAAATTGTTGTGTCTGTTGTGGTGGTGCACACCTGTTGTCCCAACTACTCAGGAAGCTGAGGCATAAGGATCATTTGAGCCCAGGAGTTTGAGGTTGCAGTGAGCTGTGATCGAGCCACTGTACTCTACTTCAGGCAGCAGACTGAGACCCTATCACAAATAAAAAGAAAAAGAAAACTGTTTACCCATCTCATATTATCTTTCAAACCTGTACAAAGTTCCTGTTATATATTTTTTTGAGAGGCCAGTAATGAAGTTTCAAAAGCAGAACTCTTTTTTTTTTTTTAAAGGTTATATAAACAATCACAGAAACAGGCAAAAATCAAAATATGTCAGTAGGGTAGAATTATCAAGTATTCTTTTTGCTGTACTCTTTTAACAATTTAAAAATAACTAGGGAGAGAAGACAAGGGAAGAAATGGAAAGAAAACTGTAACAAATAAATATAGAGAAATTACAGGAGTCTTCTGAAATTTATATATCAGAACCTATTGCCTAGGGATTAAAAATTTATACCTTGAAAGTTACAAAATATAAATACTATGGAACACTTTACTTTCCTGGTTTTTTTTATTTGTTATTTAGTTATTTTGTTTATCTTTTGTTCTACAGTGGCCATTCTGGAGAAGAAGTACAGTTATGCAGTAAAGCCATTAAAACATCAGATATTGACAATTCTAGCCATTTTGAAAGGCAGTGTGAATCTAGTTCTTCTAGCACTCATAGTGATAGTAGCAGTGATAATGAACAAGACTTTGTTTCCTCCATTCTACCAAGAAACAGACCAAATTCAACAAGTATTAGGCCACAGCTGCACACAAAAAGCATAATGAAAAAGAAAGCTTGTCAAAAAGTTAACTCCAAACACAAAGAACAGATAGTAGTAGATGTCACTGAGCGGTTAGGCAATTGCAGATTAGATAGTCAGGAGAAAGCAGCTGCAGATGAACTCCCTTTACAGAAAGTAAATACTCAGATTTCTTCAAACAGTACTTTGCCTGAGAGATTAAAGGCTTCCAAAAATTCTGAAAATAAATACAATAGGTCAGAAATAACTCTAGTAGGCATAAGTAAGAAAAGTGCTGAGCATTTTAAGAGAAAATTTGCCAAATCAAACCAAGTTTCTAGGTCAGTCTCTAGTTCAACACAGGTGTGTCCTGAAATTGCAAAGACAAACTTACTTAAAGTTTTGAAGGAGACTTTGATTGAGTGGAAGACAGAAGAAACTTTGAGGTTTTTGTATGGCCAGAATTATGCTTCTGTATGTCTGAAACCCTCTTCAGCTTCTCTGATTAAAGAAGAACTTGATGAAGATGACATAAACTCTGATCCAGATAGTCATTCCCCTGCCTGGAGGGAACCTCAGAACAGCTTAGATGAGTCTTTACCTTTTAGGGGCTCAGATACAGCCATTAAAGAATTGCCAAGTTATGAGAACCTGAAAAAAGAAACTGAAAAATTAAATCTAAGGATCAGGGAGTTTTATAGAGGACGATACGTTTTAAATGAAGAAACCAAATCACAAGACTCAGAAGAGGTATGTCTTAATGATGAGTTTTTCTGACTGCTAACATTTGTAAAAACTCACTATAGCAAAGCTTGGAGGAGGAAGAATACTGAAGAGAGTATTGTTACATTTTCGATTTAATGATTAGTCATTCTACCTTTTGGTTTACAGTGCCATCTCCACTATTTTACAAAGAAGTTGAGGTTTGCTCCTGGTAAATTTTCATAAATGTGTAATATTTATTTCTAATGTAAAAATAGCTTAAAGTAATATTAAGTTTTCTTTAAAACCCAACTTCATATAATAAGTGGACTCTCTGAAGAGGCTTGTTTTTTCTTTGTTCATACATATTCTTTCAGATTTCTACATGCGATGTTTGTGTGTTTTTTAATGAGACTAAATACAGGAGAGTTGACTTAATAGGTGCATAGTAAAATACATGGATAGTATTTAGCAGGCATGTCCATTTAAAATATTATATATGAAAATAATATAGTAAAGGAGACTTGTTGGGAAATAATAAAGAAAATGGAAAACACATTCAGATAGACCTTTAAGTATCTGCTCTGTCATTTACTAGCTATGTGAAAAGTTACTTTCTTGAGTCTGTTTGCTCATCTGTAAATGGAACTATTAATAGCTTCTCTTATTCAATTGTTAGGAGTTTTAAAGATAATGAATGTAAAGCATTTGTTGCAGTATAATTGGGACTCAGTAAATAGTACTTACATGTAGAGACTGGAAATGTGCCACTGAGATTTAGGGAGGAGCTTTTATAATAGTATTTCTGCTACCCATTTTTGATTGGTATGTACTGTATGGGAAATGAAGTCATTTGACATGAAGAGGAGTGGGTAATAACCTTGTTGTCACCACAAAACTTTGATACTAAAGATTTCTCTGTAAATTTTAAAAACACATTGGAGATTTAGAAATAGGGTAGAAGTAGAAATATAGTAAAAATTTAGAAATTTCCTATATTTCTATAGAATATTGCCTGGTCCAGTACCATACTTGAAATCACTTCAACTATATTATGACACACCATCTAAAACTTATATTAGGCTGGAAGCAGCATTGATCTCTGTCACTGAGCTGCATAAACCTACCACAATACATCACTTACTTTATCATTTTTGTGTTTATAAGCCTAAAAAGATAAAATCCCTGAAATTTATGACTTTTTATACATTTGTTTTTCCAAAAATGCTGCGTAACATTTTAAAACTATTTCATTGAAATATAACACAAATAGTGTACAGTTCATTGAATATTCACATGTGAACACACTCATGCAATCACTACCCAAGCCAGGAAATAGATCATTAAATGTAAACTAGAAGCCTTATATACATGTCCCCTCCTAATCATTACCTCTTTCCAAAATTAATAACCATTATATTAGCATAGATTAGTTTTGTCCATTTTTGAACAGTATATATTCTTTGCTGTCTAATTTATTTCATGCAGTATTTTTGAGTCATTTGTGTTTAACATAGCTGTAGTTCATTCATTGCTACATAGTTTTCCATTGTGTTGAGTATACCACAATTTATGTTAGTGGGCAGTTAGGCTGTTTCCAGTTTGGAAACTATTAGGAACAATGCTATTATGAACTTTCTTGTATATGTCTCTCTGGTAATGTGCATGCATTTCTGAAAAGTATCTAGGACTGGAATTGCTAGTGTATTCATGTATGCAACTATACTGAATAATGCTAGTTTTCCAAAATGGTTGTACCAGTTTATAGTTCCACTACTACAGTATAAGAGTTTCCTTGACTCCCTATCCTCTCCACACCCTCCCTAGTACTTGATATTATTAGTTTTAGCCATTCTGGTAATATTGCTTTATAGTTATAATACATTTCTCCGATGATTAATGAATTGAGCACTGTTTCATTTGCTTATTGACCATTTGACAGTCTTTTTTAAGTAGTACCTATTCAAATCTTTTTTCCATTTATATATTGGAATATCTGGGAGTTTTTTCTTACTCATTTGTAGGAATTCTTCAAGATCCAAGCCCTTTTTCAGTTACATATTTTGCAAATATTATCTACTCTGAGACTTGCCCTTTCAATCTCATTAATGGTGTCTTGAGTCTAGTTTACTTTATCTTCTAGAAACTTTGTTGTTTTTCCTTTCACATTTAGATATATCATTCATTTAAGATTGATTTTTGGTTATGAGAATTATGGGCCAGATTTCATTGTTTTCCCATATGGATATCCAACTTACCCAGCACCATGTATTGAAAAGATTTTCCTTTTTACCACTGGTCTATGATATAAGCCTTGTCATAAATCAGATGTTTATAAATGTGTGGGTTGTCTGTCTCTGGGCCAATACCATGCTATCTAATTATAGTAGCTTTATACAATCATGCACCGCATTAACAGCATTTCAGTCAAGGATGTACCACATATACAGCAGTGGTCCCATAAGATTATAATACATATTTTTACTGTACCTTTTCTATGCATAGATATATTTAGATATACAAATATCTACCACTGTGTTACAGTTGCCTACAGTATTCAGTAAGATTACATGCTGTACCGATTTGTAGCCAAGGAGAAATAGGCTATACCATAGAGCCTAGGTGTGTAGCAGGCTATACCATCTAGGTTTATGTAAGTACACACTGTGTTGTTTGTGCAGTGACAAAATCACCTAATACATTTTTTAGAACATATTCCTATCATTAAATGACACGTGACTGTAGAGTTTTGATATCTGGTAGAATAGATAATCTCTTTTTAATTCCTGAAGATTCCCCTAGCCATTCCTCACTTCTTTTTCCATTATAAATTTTAGAATCAGTTTATCAAGCTCAAAAGGAAAAGAGGGAAAAAGCTAGGATTTTTTTCTGGGATTATATTTCATTTGTATATAGATCAGTGTGGGGAGACTTGACATCTTTACATTATAGTCTTCACCCTATGAACACAATATTTCCTAACATTTATTTAAATCAGTTTTAATATTGCTCAGTAATGTTTCATAGTTTTCTTTGTAGAGACCTTAGACGTGTTTTATTGTATTTATTCCAAGATATTTGGTCTTTATAAGCTATTATAAGTGCTATTACTAAAAAAAGTTTTCTAGGCCGGGCGCGGTGGCTCACGCTTGTAATCCTAGCACTCTGGGAGGCCGAGGCGGGCGGGTGGATTGCTCAAGGTCAGGAGTTCAAAACCAGCCTGAGCGAGACCCCGTCTCTAAAAAAAAAAATAAAAAAATAAAAAAAAAGTTTTCTAACTGGCTTTTATATAGAAAGTCAATTTTTTTGTATGTTGACTTTATAGCATAACCTTGCCAAACTTAAATTATGAATCCCAATAATTTATAATTAAATTATTAACTTTAATAATTTATCTGTAGATGCTTTTGGATTATCTATATGTATGGTCACATCTTATGTGAATGACAGTTTTGTTTTTTTACATTCCAGTTCTTACTCCCAGTATTTTTTTTCCTTGCCTTATTCCACTGGTTTGGATCTTCAGGACAATGAGCTTCCTTGTGTCATTCTCTCAGAAGAAAAGCTTTAAATACTTTACCATTAAGTATGATATCTATTGTAGAGTTTTTGCATATCCCTTTTATCTGATTAGAGAAGTTTCCTTCTATTTCTAATTCACTATTAGTTATTGTCATCAATGGATATTAAATTTTTGTTAAGTATTTTTCATGTGTGATATATATTTTTATCAGAACATTTATTTTTAATATTAAACCAAACTTGCATTCTTGTAATAAGCTTAAGTTTATTGAGCTATGATAGCCTTTTTATATAATACTGGATTTGGTCTTGTAACATTTGCCTTAGAATTTTTGCACATGATTTTCAGAATGAGTAAGATTGGCCTATGAATTGGTCATGATCCCATCATAAAACAGATGGTACAAATAAAGTAATCTGAGGAAAGTTTAATAAAGAGACTTATCCAAAGTGTGAAAGTGTGATCAGAGCAAGGAAACCAAAGGAATAATACAGTAGCGGTTTGGGAGCCCTCACCCCACTCCTAGACCTGAAGGAAAAAGGCAGGAGTGGACCCCAAGGTCTTTGTAACAAGAAGTGCTGCGTATAGTGGACCAAGTAGGAATGTAGGGGGAATAATTCCTCCCACTTTTCTCTACTCTACAGTCCAATTTCTTGTTTTCCATTAGCAAAACCCAGATCAAGAGAGCAGGAAAGCCCACTGATGCAACTCATACAGATCAGCCTTTTGAAGTACAAAGAAGGGTGGAAAAGGATATGTATAAAGTAGATCAAAATGAAGATATCTGGCACCACCTATAATTTTCCTTTCTTGTAATGTCCTTATTAGGTTTTGGTTGTGATCACTTATTAAAATAACTTGGGAAATGTTCCCTCTTTTTCTGGAATAATTTGTGTAAAATTAATGTTATTTCTTTAAATGTTTAGAATGTATCTTTCCCTATGATTTTCTTTGTAGTCAAGTTTTTTTAAGTTTTTCTTATAGAAATTTTCAGAAACACACAAAGATAGAATAATACAGCCCCGCCCCAGATCTACTGAATGAGAACCTACTTTTTAACAAGATTCCCAGAAGATATGTGTGCACATTAACATTTGAGAAATACTATTGGTGTTTCATTTGGTTTCTTATTTCTTTTGCTTTTGGTCTGCTCATTCTATCTGTCACTGAGACACGGGTTAAAATCTCTCACCATAATTACGGATTATTTCTCCTTTCAGTTCTGGGAGTTTTAATAATTTGAGACTGCGTTGTTGGGTACAAATGTAAAATGTGTCTTCCTGGTAAACTGAAACTCATATCATTATGGAGTAACCTTTCTATTGATTTTTTTCTTGATAGTCTACTTTGCTGACACTAACATTCTTATCTTAGTGTTTTCAAGAACTTTTTTATCTTTTTACCTTTATGTGGAGAATTTAATCCATTTACATTTAATGTCATAATTGGTACACAGTATTTGGTTTTAAATCTACCATCTGACTCTACTTTCTCTATGTCCCTCATGTTGTATGTTCCTTTTTCTTTCTTTTGCATTGAGTATCATTCCATTTTTTAACCTCTATTAGCATGTTTTTATGCACTTTTTTACTGATCATTAGATGGTCACCCTAAAGGTTAAAACCTGAATCCTTGTCCTATTAAAATCTAATATATGCTCCTATTTTTATTGCTTCCTGGTCATTTAGTACCTTAGAATCTTAAACTCCATTTATCCACTCTTATGTGCTATTGTTATTGGATATTTTTATTCTCTCTATGGTTAAAATCCTACAAGATTATATATAGCCAATACTCAGCTAGATTTATCAATTTAATTACTCTTTCATTGTTTTTCTTTCCTTCCTCTATCTCCATTCTTCCATCTAGGATCATTTGCCCTGTGCCTAAAAAATATCCTTTATTTCTCTTAGTGCCGATTTGCGGATGAATTTTCTCAGTTCTTGTTTGTCAGAAAATACTCTCAGTTATTTTCTTTTAGCACATTGAAAATACCATTCTATTGTCTTCTGGCTTCCATTTATTTCTCTTACTGCTATTCCTTTGAAAGTATTGTGTTTTCTTCCTCTAGCCACTTTTAAGATTTTTTTTTCTTTGTTTACCATTTCTTTGTTTATCAGCTTTATAACACTTTGCCTAGGTATTACAATGTTTGTATTTATTCTTTTTGCTGTTGTAATACTTGAATCTATGACTTGAATATTTTTTGTCAGTTTTGGAATATTCTCAGTTATCTCTTCAGATACTGCTACTGTCCCATATTTCCCTCTCCTCTTTACCTGGCACTCTATTTTACTGTATCTTCTAGGTCTCCTAAACTCTTTTTGTGCTTTAAATTATGTGTTGGAGGGGTGACTGCTTCATTTTGAATATTTTCCTATTCAGTATTCTTTCTTCAATTATTTCTACTATACTACTAAGTCTACCAATGAGTTGTTACATTTAAATACTATATATTTCAGTTCTAGGATTTTCACTTGTTTCTTATAGAGTTTCCAGTTTCGCCAAAATTTTCAACCTTGTCATTTTTCCTTGAATATATTAAACAGTTATTTTAAATAATGCTGATACCTCATTATCTGGATTCCCTGGGAGTTGATTTCTATAGGCTCATATTTCAGATTTTGATGACATTGCCTTGTTTTATTATTGTTTTATTACATGCCAAACATTGAATATTAAGTATTGCCAAAATAACTAGAGACCCAGGATAGTATCATCTTCCTCTAGAATGGATTTATGTTTGTTTCTGACATTATTTGTAACTATCCCATCTCACCTTAATATAATGACAGATTAAGATGATTTGAAGGTAAGGTTCGGTCCCTGTAGAGCCAGACTGCTTCCTATTCTTCCTTACTCCTAGAATATGGTCTTTCCAAGTTCTTATCTCAAGCTTGGAAAGGGTTGCCCATACCCCTCCTCCCTTCTTGGCATGCCCTAAACTCTTATCTTTTATTAGAAAAACTCTGCTCAAATCCTCAGTATCTAAATTGCCTCTTCTGGAATTAGTGCCCTATCTGGAATAACCTTTTTCAGGATCTCAGCCAGTAGTTCTTCATGGCCCTGTTAGCTCTCTTATGCCTTCAAACAAATGTGGTTTTTTTCCCCAGCTTTTTTCAGTTTTCAGAGAGAAGATTAGTTTGAATTATCTACCATTTCTGGAAGCAAAGTTCCTTCATAATATTTGCTAATTTTAATCTTTTAATCTTCTACATTTTTATAGAATTTAGCAGTTCACAAAATCTTTTGTATACATTTGGTCATTTAGTAAAGGAGGTATTAATATCCCTGTTATACAGATGAGAAAACTGTTCAAAGAGAGCTGATGACTCAAGCAAGTTCACATAAGCCTAATAACTGAGCTGATACTCAGATTTAAATCTTTTAATTCTTATGTCTAGTTCTTTTCCTACTGTACCACAAGTATAAACTTTTATGTTTTAATGTTTATTGTTCCACTTATCAAAGAAAGTATGTAAATTTATGATTCTCTTTTGCTTTGTTTAAATTGTCATTCAGCATGATCCCACCTTTCCACTGATAGATTCAAGTTCCCAGAACCAAATTAGAAAACGCATCGTACTTGAAAAATTGAGTAAAGTGTAAGTATGTAACTGCCATTTCAGTTTTGTAATATGTTTAAGTTAACTTGTGTTTATGAGTTCATAATTTATAAGTGTTATCCTTGAATTTTGAACATTTTGAAAAATAATGTGAAAAGTTTAATTGGATTTCTTCACTTGAAAATTTTTATTTTTAAGATATCCTATCCAGGAAGTACTGAGTTTTGTATAGAAGACACAGAGACATTATAAAGAGGAAGGTTGAGATTCTGGGCATAGCAAACCAAACTACCTCACTCCTTCTTAATAATTCAGTGAAGTCACTGGAAAACTATCAAAGCTAGACCCATTTAAATACTGATTTGTGGTAAATGTGTCACATCAGTTTCACATGTGAACAAGGCGTTAAAAAGTTTTAAGTCTGTTTACTTACTTGGCATACATATTCATAGAACCATTTCTCACTTAGCAGCTTGAGTTTTTGTTCAGCCCAACTTTGCACTTTAGCTTTAAACTTCCCATGGTGGAAATTATTGTTCTTCTAATTAGCCTAGTCATACATGACATTTAAAAAGTGCTATCTTGGTTTTTCTTTTGAAAAGAGCTTGAAAGTATTTTTTCCAGAAGTATGCGGGCTGTCTTGGACTCTTCAACCTGCATTTTCTTTTTTTAGCAAAAAACATGCAAAGGTTCTGTCAGTCATCGCTTAAGGTGTTATAAATACAGAGAAGTTTTATTTTGTAGCAGTTTGAAAATAAAAACATTTTCTGAAAGCTATATCTTGAGCAGCTTAGGTATAAAATGTTACTTGATATAATGGAAGATATTATTTTCACTTTAAAATACAGGTTGAGTATCTCTTATCTAAAATGCTTGGGGCCAGATTGGATTTTAGACTTTTTTTTTTTTCGGATTTTGGAATAGTTGCATTTTACTTACCAGTTAAGCATTCCTAATATAAAAATCCAAAATTTGAACTCCAGAATCTGAAACTTTTTGAGCACTGACATGATGTTGAAAGGAAATGTTCGTTGTAGCATTTCAGATTTTGGATTTTTAGGTTAGGGATGCTCAACCAGTAGTTTTTAAGCCACATTTGAAATCCACTTTGGTTGGCTTTGTATCTTGATTGGATTAAAAAATGAAGAGGAAGAACTACTTTAATTTTCACATTTTAAATGTTTAAATTAATATTTATTAAATGCCCGCTGTATGTTAGGTTCTTCATGTATAATCTGTTAGTTTTGCCTTTTATTTGACCTTCATACTTGTACATTTGTTTCTATTAAATTAGTTTAGAAAACAGAATGAATTGTCACCTATCTGATTCATAGGACAAGAAGATACCAACCTTGACTTTAGCTACATAAGGTTTGAGAGTTGAGATGGAATATCTCTATTGGTATGTATTCAGTAGATAGGGATTTATGTGGAAATAGTTTTCTAGGCTTTTTAGCTATGAGAGTATACAGTTTAAATTTAAGGCCATATAGACATGTCATTGAAGCAATTCTGCTCCTTCTGGGTTTGGGCTAAAACAAAAGATACCAAAAGGAGCCCTGCTAGAAGACTAAATTATTCTTACTAGCACAAGAACTAAATTTGAGAAAGAGTGGAATAACTTAAAAGGAAGCACAGGCGAGTCATGGTGGTTTATGCCTATAATCCCAATCCTTTGGAAGGCCAAGGCAGGAGGATCACTTGAACCCAGGAGTTCAAGACCAGCCTGGGCAACAGAGCCAGACTTCTATCTCTACAAAAAAAATTTAAAAATTAGCCAGATGTGGTGGCATGTACCTGTAGTCCTAGCTACTTGGCTGAAGCAGAAAGTATCACTTGAGCCCAGGAGTTCAAGGTTATAGTGAGCTATGATTATGCCACTGCACTCCAGCCTGGATAACAGAGTGAGTGAGACTCTGTCTCTAAAAGAATAAGAAGCACAAAGAACAGTGAAAACAAAACTAATATGGTGGCATGGGGACTCTTTTTGTTTGTTTATGAAAGCTGATGGTTTTTTTTTCCATTATGAAAGTAAGACCTTTTTTGGTTTCTGATTTGAGCAAACCAATTGTAAAAAGACTTTTTCCCCCAGATAATCAGAAGAAATTAAATATGCACTGGATATTAGATGACACTAAGGAATTGTTACTTTTGTTAGGTATGATAATTGTTATATAAGAAAGTGCCTTTGTATTTAGAGATACAGATGGAAATAGAGGACCAGGGGTTTACTTCAAAATATTACTGCAAAAAAAGGAAGGAAGGAAAAATGAAACAAATGTAGCAAAATATTGGAAAGTTGAATCTGGAAATGGATATATGGGGTTATTACTATTCTATTTTGGAACATGTTTGAAACTTCCATAATCTTTAAAAAAAAAAAAAGTAGCACATGCTTATTGCAGAAGATTAGGCAGTTAAAAATAAGAAGGAAGTGGCCGTGCGCGGTGGCTCACGCCTGTAATCCTAGCACTCTGGGAGGCCGAGGCGGGCGGATTGCTCAATCAGGAGTTCAAAACCAGCCTGAGCGAGACCCCGTCTCTACCATAAAAATAGAAAGAAATTAATTGGCCAACTAAAAATATATAGAAAAAATTAGCCGGGCATGGTGGCTTGTGCCTGTAGTCCCAGCTACTCGGGAGGCTGAGGCAGGAGAATCACTTGAGCCCAGGAGTTTGAGGTTGCTGTGAGCTAGGCTGACGCCACGGCACTCACTCTAGCCTAGGCAAGAAAGCGAGACTCTGTCTCAAAAAAAAAAAAAAAAAATAAGAAGGAAGTGAAAATCACCTATAATCCTACCACTCAACAATAACTACTATTAATATTTTGATCTTTATCCCTGACATATATATAATGTGTGTGTGTGTGTGTATGTGTCCGTTCCCTTTAGTTCTCTTTGTTATAGGATAAACCTAGAAGGAATGAAATATGTTTGATATGTAGTATGTATCATATACAATAGTATTATATGTTTTTATAAAAACAGAACAATATTATGTATGCATTTTTCACTTAACATTTATGAATATCTTTCCACATTAAAATAGATTCACATTATTTTAATGGTTTAATCTACTAAAAGGGTAATCATATTTAACCAATTACATACAGATATATACTTGTTTCTAATTTTTCACTACTAAAAGTATTTCAACAAGCATTTTTTTATGTTTATCTGATTATTTCCTTAGGGTAAATTTTTTTTTCATACAAAAACTATTGGGTCAAAGAATATCCTCATTTAAACTGTTAATATATATTGTCAAATTGCTCCCTAAGAATGTTATAACAATTTTTCACACCCACCATGAGGATTTACTAAGGAGAAATATATCACATTCTCAGATTGGATCATTTTGGGGGCAGTTCCTCTGGCCTTGTGTTCTTTGCCTCTTGGTCTTATATTTGAAAATAAATAGGTGAGAAAAAGTAGGGACAAGAATATAGATAGCAGCCAAAATTATTTTGCATTTTAGAGCTTCACACTCAGTAACATAGACTACAAAGTGGATTGTGGGATATGACTTCTCCCCAGTCAAAACCTAGCTTAACTGTTTAAAAGCATGACTGTTTCCACCTAAGTGCCATTATAACCTATGGAAAATCCGGACATAGGCATAACCCAAAAAAGTATTTATATGTAATTAAATTATTTTTTAATAAATGTACTTTTTAATTTCAGATTGCCTGGACTTTGGGGTCCTCTTCAGATTACATTGGGAGATATTCATACACAACTTAAAAGTCTTGTCCAAACTTTCAGGTTAGTGGTAATATTATTTTCCTTCTCAGTTATTTTGACTTATTGATTGCCTTGTTGAACCCATAGATTGACTAAGGCTCCAAGAAAGTAAGTGACTTACCTTCAGTGTCTTAAATCTAAATACAGTGCTCTATTTTTTCCTCCACTAAACAACATTACTTCTGTCTTCTACTGAATGCAGTACTCTGAACTTACCATCTTTAAAAACGTTTAGATATGGCATAGCCCCTTTAAAAATGTTCTGTCAATAAAACATCAATTTGGGCAACTTACTTACAAAATAAGCCAACTTAATTACATTAAATATAGCTTTGGGGTAAAAATAAAGAAACATGGAATCGTATCTCACCTGTTTCATTAGATGAAGCTAGACTGTGATTTGCCCTTATGATACTTAGTAGTTAAAGCCAGGCGTGTTAATTCTCAGGCCAGTGTTTCCCTTCTAGCCCCCCATGCCACATTGCCTTTCTGTACTACTCTTTTCCTATAACTTAACAACTTTTTCATAGGCAAATGAGTTTACTCATTTACTCCACAAATATTTATGAAGTTCCTGCTTAGTGCCAGGCCCTACAAAGATACTGGGATTTAATCTCTCCCTTGAGCATTTTACCAGCTACTGTGGATAACAGTTATTAAATAGTTACATGTATACCATTGTATACTTGGAATTTGCTAAGAGAATAGGTCTTAAGTGTTCTTACCACATACACACACACAAAAAAAAAGGTAAATTATATAAGGTGATGGATATGTTAATTAGCTTGATTGTAGTAATCATGTCACAGTGTGTATGTATATCAAATCATCACATTATACAACTTAAATGTATATAATTTTTAGCTGTCAATTATACCTCAAAGCTGGAAGGAAATAGTTACAAGTGTAATACATTTTACAAAAGGATAGTTATGGAGACTTACAATAGGGAGTTAACCTTGTCAGGTGGCGAAGAATTGTATCATCAAGGACACCCTCCCTGAAGAAATAACATTAAAACTGGGACATTTAAATTGTATCTCCCATTCTCTGAAATGGCAGCCTTACTGATGCCAGCAGTCCAAACATTTGTCTAATTTCCTCAGATACATATCAAAGGACCATCTGGTAGTATATTTGATGTACTTTGAAGAGTACAGCAAATCAAGAACCAGTAGTCTCTCTAGGAAAAAAATAATAGACCTAGACATTTCTATCAGGAGAACTTTAAAGATCCAATGGGCCTAATGGGATTGTTATTAAAAGGTTTTATTTATTCTTTAAATCTACCATGGGTTGTTTCAGTACTCATTAGTATCAAAGATGTAAGAAAAAAGAATAAAGGTCATTTCACTTATCACATCAAATAAAAGCTCCACTTAAAAGGGTTCTGTTACCTATGAAATTAAGCCTCATTGCAACACCTAACCTAGCCAAGACAAGAATCACATTGATCTTCAGTCCTATAAGAGGTAGCTAACACTACAGATATGAGGAGACATTCAAATGTCCTCTTCCTCTTATATTTATAAAATACTATTTTATCACCTTTTTCTGTCATTCCCATTATGTGACTCTAAGTCTCTTCCAGCTACTTTCTGCGTTATTTACATTAAATTAAAACAAAGACTAGATGAAATGAAATTATATGATATCTGAGATTTACTTCAAAATTATTTAGGTTGGGGTAGTGCTGAATATGGGGCTGTGTAGATGAAATATAATTGATCAGGAGTTCATAATTGTCAAAGTTGTGATGAGTACATAGGAGTTTATTTGCTCTCTACTTTTACACGTTTGAAATTTAATAAAAAATTTAGGGAAAATAAGCCAAAAAATTACATGCATTATTTGGTAGGGGATGTTATAAATTTCTGTTCCAAAAACCTTGGTGTTAATTAAGTTATTTTTGAAAACCTTTACTTTTTAGTACCTGCAGGTCAAAGTCTATAGCTTTGATAAAAAAATTACTTAAATTGGCTTTACTGTCTTTTAGATAAATGTCAGTTACTTAGAATACAAAATGACCTCTGGTAAGATAACTGATTTGCAGTCTTAAGATTACAACAGGACAACTTCAGCAGTTCTGCAACTAATTATAAGTTAGGGCTTCCAGGTGAAGCCTCTGGAAAAAATACCATGTTGATGACCATGACTAGAGTGTTGAGAAATCTTTTCAGTCAGTACTATTACTGGGAAAGAGTGACGTAAGTAACCATATCCTTCTCTTTGAAATGGTAATCAATAATAAAAACTTGTAGAACAATGATTCTCATGCCAGCTGTGCATCAGAATTACCTGGGGAGCTTTTAACAACTACGGATGCCTGGCTCCACCCCTAGAGATTGAGTTTCATTTGGCTAAAATTGGGCTCAGACATTAGTTTTTTTTAAAAGCCCCCTAGGTAATTCTAATGTGTTGCCAGAGTTGAGAGCCTATTTTAGGACCTAAATTAAAGCAGCTTTTTCAGCTCTTTGTAGAATCTTTCCCCAGTGAATAATGCTGTCCCTTCTACTGAAGTGCATCACAAGTCTGTTTAAAAAAAATTTAGTAGAATGTTACATTGATTTACCTGTCATAGTGTAAAGTGGGTTCCATCAGAAGCTGCTTGATAATGATTCACTGTCATCAGTGTTGAATCAAGGTATCTTTCTAAATCAGATTTAGATTAAAATTTATTTTTACTTTTTATTGAGTTAAAAAATACATAATTTACCATTTAAAATCTATAATTTACCATTTTACCATTCTTTCCCACCTCCTGCCCCCTCACATACACACACTTCATCTCCCAATCCCCCTCCCCTTCCTGGCCAATCTACTCACTATCTTCATAAGATCCACTTTTTTAACTTCCCCAAGTTAGTGAGAACATGCATTGTCTTCTGTGCCTGGCTTATTTCACTTAATATAATGGCCTTCAGGTTCATCCATGTTGCTGGAAATGACAGGATTTCATTCTTATTTATGGGTGAATGATATTCTATTGCATATATATATACCACATTTTCTTTATCCGTTCATCCATTGATGGGCACTTAGGTCGATTCCATATTTTGACTATTGTGAATAGTGCTGCAATAAAAGTGAGAGTACAGCTATCTTTTCAATACCTAATTTCCTTTCTTTTGGATATACACCTAGTAATGAAATTGCTGGATCATATGGTAGTTATATTTTTAGTTTTTTGAGGAACCTCCATACTGTTGTCCATAGCAGCTATATTTGTTTACATTCCCACCAACAGTGTACTAGGGTTCTGTTAGGTTTGCTCTCAGCTCTCATACTATATATGTTGTTATTATGTGTTGATATATGCCTTTTTCCCCTTCCCAGTCCATTCTCCATTTCTCACTAGAAGCAGGGAGACGAGATGGTACTAAGGAATGAGAAAGTTGCAATTTTAAATGTGAAAATATATCAGACAGAGGGAACAGCAGGTGCAAAGACCTGACAGGTTCCCACTTCACATCTTTAGCAGCATCTGTTTTGCCTGTTTTTTGATATAAGCCATTTCAACTGTGTGACATGATGCCACATTATGGTTTTGATTTGCATTTCTCTGATGATTACTGATGTTGAGCATTATTTATATACCTATTGGCCATTTATATATCTTCTTTTGGGAAATGTCTGTTCAGATCTTTTGTCCATTTTATAATCAAATTATTGGGGTTTTTTTGTTGTTGTTGAATTGTTGGAGCTCCTTTATATTCTGGTTATAACACCTTGTCAGATAGATAGTTTGCAAATATTTTCTCTCGTTCTGTGGGTTGTCTCTTTGTTGATTGTTTCCTTTGCCATGCACAAGCTTTTTAGCTTGATGTAATCCCAGTTGTCTATTTTTGCTTTTGTTGCCTGTGCTTTTAACATCTTACACAAAAAGTCTTTTGCCCAGACCAATGTCCTAGACCATTTCCCAAATATTTTCTTCTCATAGTTTTATAGTTTCTGGTCTTAGATTTTAGTTTTTAATCCATTTTAATTTGATTTTTGTGTATGGTAAGAGATAGGGGTCTAGTTTCATTTTTCTGTATGTAGTTATCCAGTTTTCCTAGCACTATTTATTAAAAAGACTATCCTTTCTCCAGTGTATGTTCTTGGTGCCCTTGTCAAAGATGAGTTGGTTATAAATTCATGGATTTATGTGTGGGTTCTCTGTTCTGTTTCATTGGTCTATGTGTCTGTTTTTATACTAATACCATGCTGTTTTGGTTACTATAGCTTTGTAATAAATTTTGAAGTCAGATGTTGTGATGCTTTCAACTTTGTTCTTTTTGCTCAGGATTGCTTCGGCTATTTGGAGTCTTTTATGGTTCCATACACATTTTAGGATATTTCTTTTATTTCTGTTAAGAATACCATTGGTATTTTGCATTGAATCTGAAAATTGCTTTGGGTAGTATTGTCATTTTAATGATACTAATTTGTCCAATCCATGAGCATGGAATATCTTTCCCTTTTTTTGTGTGTCCTCTTCCATTTCTTTCATCTGAGTTTTATAGGTTTCCTTGTACAGATCTTTCCTTTCTTTGATCAGATTGATTTCTAGATTTTTTACATTTTTTGTGGCTTTTTAAATGAGACGACTTTCTTGATTTCTTTTTCAGATTATTTGCTGTTGACATATATAAATGCTACTGATTTTTGTATGGTGATTTTTTTATGTGTCTTTACTGAATTTGTTTATCAGTTCTAATAGTTTTTTGGTGGAGTCTTTAGGGTTTTCACTATATAGGATCATATATATGCAAACAAGGTTAATTTAACTTCTTCCTCTCCAATTTGGATGCCCTTTATTTTTTCTCTTGCCTAACTCCTCTGGCCTAAAATTGTATTTTACACAAAAGTCCATTTTAAATTTCATCAGTGATGAATCAAGGTATTTTTCTAAATGTGTATGAATTTCATATTATGTTTCAAAAATGTGCTTTTAAAATGTAATACTATCAAGTATTACTGTTTTCATTTTTGAATTATCACTCAAGTTATCACTCAGACAATACTAAGTATATTCATTTAGCATCTGTGCTGGAAATTACTATTTTGGTCAGGCTGGTTTCAAACTCCTGACCTCAAGTAATCCTCCTGTCTTGGCCTCCCAAAGCTCTGTGATTACAGGCATGAGCCACCAAGCCCCATCACTTATCTTCCTTTGAGCTCCTTTGGTTTAAAATTTTTAAAAGCATACTATATATGTTATTATTATGTGTTGATATATGCCTTTTTCCCCTTCCCAGTCCATTCTTCATTTCTCACCAGAAGCAGGGAGACGAGATGGTACTAAGGAACGAGAAAGTTGCAATTTTAAATGTGAAAATATATTAGACAGAGGGAACAGCAGGTGCAAAGGCTCTAAATCTAAAGCAGGAACAGGCCTGGTGTATTCACAGAATATTCAGGTGGTTGGTGAGGCAGGAGAAATGAGCAGAAGCAAGAGTAGAAAGAGATATGAGCAGAGAAATATGGGGTAGACAGGTTGGGTATGGTATAGATGGTATAAGCCTTATAGCCATGGTAATTCTTTGGCTTTTAGTGAGTGAGATGAAGAGCAATTGGTAGGTTCTGAACAGAAGATTAAGATGATATAACATACATTTTTTATAGCCTCACTTTGTCTTCTGGGTTGAGAATTATGACAGGTAGTCAGAGGCAAGGGAGACCAATAAGGAGGTTATTTTGGTAATCTAGGCAAGAAATAGTATGTGGACCAAAGAGAAAGCAGTAGAGAATAATAAGTGATGAGATTCTGTTTTGAAAGTAGAACCATTAGGATTTGATGACAAGTTGAACATGAGACATAAAAACAGTCAAGTTTAACCACAAGATTTTTGGCCTGAGCAACTGGATTCTGGAAGGATAGGGTAAGCCATTTACTGAGATGAGGATATCTCCAGAAGGACCTGGTTTTGGGAGGAAGTTGAAGAACTCAATTTTGGCTGTATTAAGTTTTGAGATGCCATTAAATATAGATGTCTGAAAATTCAAGGAAGAAATCTAGGCTAGAGATAATAAATTTGAGAGTTGTCAGCACATAGTTATCTAATATTTAAAGTTATGAGATTGGATAAAATCACCAAGGAAAAAAACATTGATGGAGGAGAAAAGAGACCCAAGAGCAGAGGCCCTGGGACACTCCAATATTAAAAGGTCTGAGAAAGAGAGTGCCAGTTTGGGGGTAGGGAGTACCAAGCAAGGGAAAACTAGGTAAAGATAATGTTCCCTAGAGAAGGGAGTAACTGTGTCAAATGCTGCTGATTGATTATAATAACTGAAAAATGTAGTTGGATTTGGCAATATAGATGTCTGTCTGTTGTACATTTAATCCTCACAAGAACCTTATAAGGTAGGTAGTATTTTGTCCTTAATTTTGCCAAATTCAAAAAAAAGTTTTACAGCCATCAAATAACATGTCCAAGGTTAAACACTACTAAGAACAGATCTGGGTATGGGTATTATCTATCAGATTAGGCTTTTTTTAATTTTGAAAAACATTTTAAACAATGTGGGAAATTCAGATTAATGTAACAAAATATACCTTCCACTCAGAATTAATTGATTTTAATATTTTCTAAAATTTGATTCAGATGTACATTTTTAAATAAAAAAAATAGGTTAATTAATTCATTCAAAATATATTAATTGAATGCCTGCTAACCGCCAGATACTTGTTCTGGGCACCTGGAATAAATAGGTGAAGAACACAAAGATTCCTGCTCTTAGACAAGAGAAAATAAGTAATAAACAGTAATTATGTTAGAAGATAATAAATGGTAGAGAAAAAGAAAAGAAAACCATATAAAGGGGATCAGGAGTATTGGGCTGGGAGGAAGAGGGCAAGTTGCACTTTTTAATGGGGTGGCCCAAATAGGCCTTCTTACAAAGATGACAGAAGGAAACTTATCTGGGGTAAGATACTTTCAGATAGCTGGAATAGCCAGTGCAAATGAGGAAGAAGACATGAAGTCCCCGTTACGCCCATTCTCAATCTATTCTCCTTTCAATCTATATCTTTCCAGTCTTTGTTTTTATATTTTTACTGCATATATATGATATATATACACACACATAAATAGTATTTAATATTGTCTGTTCTTGATTTATATAAAATACCATGCTCACTTTCTTTCATTCAAAATTATGAGCAAAATATGTAAATTTAATTCATTTTAACTATTAGTATATTAGCTATTTAGTATTTTATAAATATGCCACAACTTATTTTTCCCATTATAAGCAGTGTTGCATTAATAGTCTCCATACACATTTCCTCATACATAAGTAAGAGAGGTTATTTTTGTTTGTTTTTTGAGTCTCTGTTGCCCACGCTAGGGTGCCATGGTATCGGCCTAGCTCACAGCAACCTCAAACTCCTGAGCTCAAGTGATTATCCTGCCTCATCCTCCCGAGTAGGTGGGACTACTGGTGTGTACCCAGCACCCGGCTAATTTTTCTATTTTTTAGTAGAGGTAGGGTCTCGCTCTTGCTCAGGCTGGTCTTGAACTCCTGATCTCAAGTGATCCTCCTGCCTCAGGCTCCCAGAGTGCTAGGATTACAGGCATGAGTCTCTGCAGCTGGCCAGTGAGAGAGTTTTTTGGGGCTCTATATCTAGAAGTAGAAAAGCTGGGTGATTTTCCTGTTTCCGAATACTCTCAAAAAAAATAAAATAAAAAAAAAAGCTGGGTGATTCATATGCATTTTCAGCATTATTAGATATTGCCAAATTGTTGTTCAGTTGCTCACAACAACAGTGTGTTAAAGGTACTATTTCTTCCTGTCCTCACTAATCCTTGAGATTGGACAATACCAATCCTTGGTATTATCAGTCTTTTATTTTGGCCAGTCTGATGATGATGCTTTTATATTAATTTCCCAGATTACTAGTGAGATTGAGCTCCTTTTCAAAGTTTATTGGCCATTTCAACTTTCTTCCTCAATAAATTGCTGGCTCATATCCTTTGTGATTTATTTATTGGGTGATATTTTCTTATTGATTTATATCATTTTTTAATTTAGAGTGATCTAAATGTTTTCTGAGAAACTAAGATGACTACAGAGTATTTTGTTGCCTTCAATGTCTCAGTGATAGAATTTACCCCGATTTTTTAAAACTTAAGTTTTCTTTAATAAAGACCCAGTCTTATAATTTTAAGCCAACTCTCATTTATATAAATTATGGATTATAACATCCCTTAATTGCCTGCTGCCAGCCTAGCACAGAAAGGTGCAAAAGATGAAGTAAAATTAAAATCAGAAATTGCATATGTTAAACCAGGCACAGTGGCATGTGCCTGTAGTCCCAGCTACTCAGGAGACCGAGGCAGGAGGATCATTTGAGCCCAGGAGTTAGAGGCAGTAGCATGCTATGACTGTACCTGTGAATAACCACTCCAGCACAGGCTGGGCAACCTAGTGAGGCCCTGGGTCCCCCCTCAAAAAAAAGATATTGCTTATCTTGTTAGCTTTTTTTTTTTTTTTTTTGAGACAGAGTCTCACTTTGTTGCCCAGGCTAGAGTGAGTGCCGTGGCATTAGCCTGGCTCACAGCAACCTCAATCTCCGGGGCTCAGCGATCCTACTGCCTCAGCCTCCCGAGTAGCTGGGACTACAGGCATGCGCCACCATGCCCGGCTAATTTTTTGTATATATATTTTTAGTTGGTCAATTAATTTATTTCTATTTTTGGTAGAGACGGAGTCTCGCTCAGGCTGGTTTCGAACTCCTGACCTTGAGCAATCCGCCTGCCTCGGCCTCCCAAAGTGCTAGGATTACAGGCGTGAGCCACCACGCTCGGCCCTCTTGTTAGCTTTAATAAAGGGTTTGATTAGGGGAAAGCATAGAGTATGTTGGCGGGGGGGGGGGGTGTAACATCCTCTAGGTGTGTGTGTGTTTTAATAAACCATACAATTTAATTTCCCACATTGTTCCTATATTCTCATCTTGTCTAGTAGTAATATTATAATAAAAGTGGGGCTGGAACACTTCCTTTTTGAGATGGTAATTATAAGATACTGAATATCCCGAACCACATTATTATACTACTGACTCTTTCCTGTCAAATATAACAAATATTTAAAAAGTGTTTCTTTGACACATAATATTATAAATTTGATTTTATCTAGAAATAGAAGATTTATTTATTTAAATATAACAATCCTTGGGTAAATTTTATCTTACTATCTTTCAGATTAACAAATAGAAATATTATACACAAACCTGCAGAGTGGACTTTAATTGCTATGGTGTTGCTGTCATTGTAAGTACTCTCTCAGATTTTAACTCTAAATACTAAATATGAAGAATTTTGATTTGGGAAAGACAAAGTTATTTCACTGATTTTGTAAATTGCCATGTAAAATATCATACCTCTATTTTATGCTTTATTTTCCTTCATGATAAAATAATTTTTATGTAAAGTGACATGCCATATTTTGATAAACTAATCATTCTCTTTATATTTTTTACTATCTTTTCTTCTGAGGACCTGTTCTTCACAAACACTGTTACCTTCTTTTGAAAGAGAACATCCTCATGTTGGATGCATACAGAATACGTCTTTTAGTTTCATTTTTAATAGTCCACTTTGTTAACATTGAATGGGCTTCATTATTTTATATTTGTTATTTTTACATATGTTATGCTGTTTTGTCTTCAATATACTTTATCAATCTGAAAAGTTTAATTTTCAAATTAATATACATTTTAAAATCTAACAGATTTAAAGGAACTATAGTAGATGCTTACTATACAAGCATATGTGAAACATTTAATACTCATTCACTTTTTAAGAAACCACTAGTGGTTTCTAAGGCTGTTTTTCAATAGGGGTTAAACCATTTAATAAGTGTAGTGTTTTTCAGCTTGAATTGCAAAAGTCTTCTTTTGAGGACCATTCATTACTGCATTACTGTTGCTGCTTGGCACTTGTTAGGTCATTGAAGCCCATAGGACATTGAAAACTTACCAGACAACTCACAGGTCAAAAAGTGTTAGGAGCCAACCTTATAGCATCTTCCACCCTGCTTTCTCTTTCTTTGATATTACTTCAGTCTGACATGTTATTCTGGCTTCACTGTCCCAAAGAAAGCTGTGCTGAGAAGCATTAGAGTAGGCTTCAGTGAGCCAGCATCTGTGTCACCCAACCAGATACAACTCACATGATTCATTAAATCATAACACAGAAAATAACTTTACTTGAATGCCCTGATATAAATTTTTTATCAACCATAAGAACAAATCTTTTGTCATTTCTACTATTCAGTGTTCCAGCTGAATTGGTAATTTGTAAAACAGATCTTATTAATTTTTTAGAAAGTTCTTTCCATTTTATGAAATTTGTAAATATTTTGGTCACTGGCAAAGAAAATGTTAGTATCTCTGCTCACCCACCATATCACAGACCTGCTAATAAACCCTCGTAGACAGCTGTTTGACTTGTACTTCGGCAATTGATTATACTAAAGGGGAAGTAATTTTTTTGGTTGACGAGTCAGAGGCCTTGGCCCAGTAATCTCAGAATCTTGCTTTCTAAGCCAATGACTGGAAGTATTATCTTCATGAGCAGCTGCTTACTGAGGACATGTTAAATCCTGCTTTTTTTTGTATTAAACTGATGTCATGCCTTATCTAAGATGTATAGCAAGGAACCACAAAAAAAGGTTAAATTAAATAATAAAGGCTACCACTAAAATTTCATATGATTATTCCATACAAAAATAAACCTGTAGTGTTTGATTTTAATAGAGGCACCCATGTGACACAAAATATTGAAAGCTTTGCTTGTCCTTTTAAGCACTATTTGACTTTCCTAACTTTGGATGTAATGTAGGGAACCTCTTATTTCAAGGGACAGTGACGCATAAAAATAGCAACTTAATTAAATTCAAGGAATAATTTGCACACATCTTAGGTATATTGTATGTTTCACATTGTATAATCAATCTTGAAGTTATAGTAGTAAACACTATTTCCTTTTGTAATTTGTCTTGCATTCTTCTCTTTCTTTGTGCTCTAACTCCTAGAGCTAAATCTAGCCTTCTTTCTCCTAGTCTTTGGTTCTTTTGATCTCTGGACAACTGAAATCCTTTCCAGATAGGGCCCATTTAGTTTCTTTTAATATTTTTGGTCACTATAGACACCAAGTCAAATGGCACTTCCTAGTTGTTTAAAATCTTATTTTTTCATAATTCTCTCTAACTTGCCATAGGCCCTCCTTACAGATCCTTCTCATTCTGCATTTGCACATTCTATATCTTCACTGGCTGAATTTAGATTGAATTTAGGCATACATGGGAGTATCTTTTTTCAATAATTACCCTATGATTTAGAAAAACCTTCACATCTCTCAAATTTCCAATGGAATTTTTAAAGTCATAACTTATAGGCATTTCTGGAATTCATGTTTAATAAAACAAACTTCATACAAGTCTTTACAGCAAGGAAAAAGATTCTGAATGGCAGTTCAGAAGTAGTCACTGAAGATGACTATAATAAGATAATGTGTTCAGTATATTATAACAATAGTGCTATTCTTTGTATATGAACATTGCAAAAATTTATTACTACCATTTGTTTAATGCATGAAAGCTTTTTTCAAAATTCCTCGTGTGAACCACTTGGAAAGGATACATACACACACTTATATATATAATTGTATTAATATGTTGCTGTACTGGCTGAAGTTTATCTCTTGTTAAAGGGGGAAAAATCAACATCTGAATAAAATGTGATAGTTCAGAACAATAGAAATAAGTCTAAGTCTTGAATTTTCATATCCTTATTCTTTTAAAATAAGGTGTTTGGGTAGCAAATCATCTTCTGGTGACTTCCATTGTACTTTCATAGATATATTAACATTAAAAAAATTTGGACCACAACATGTAATTTATCAGTGTGTACTGATGGGAATTTTATAGTCATATAATCAGAGAAAAAAATTTGATTGAACAGTTTGTACTGCACACTCAATGAAATGCATCTACATATGAAAATACACCATGACACATTCCCACTAGATTTAGGTTTCTTGCTGATTCCATGGGACTTGAATTGCTATTGTGACTGCAACATTTATTGATATTTGTATTATGTATTCAGACCCTAACTGGTTGCCAACAGCATATGAAAAGACCTTTTAAAGCAGAGCTTAAACAGTATACATTTGTTTAACAATGCAGAAATTAATATCCCGTTAGTCCTCTCATTTTTATTGAATAAATATTTTAAAGATTCTCTAGAACTCCTTATATGTAGAAGAACATCTATAATAATGATTACTGATTGACCAATTCTTTTTAAAGAACTGATGAGAAATGAACTAAAGTAACCTAATAATTGCCGAGACTTATTGCCTAAGCATTTGGTTATAATTTTGCATCTCAGTTGAACTTTATTAGATTTTACTCTTACATCAGGTTTTATTCCCAGAAAAGGTACTATATGTTGAAATAATACAAAGTTGAATCTGATTTTCCCAAATAAATATGCCCTAATAAGTTGTTAGGCTCTTCACAATCTTTGATGCATGACGTTAATAAAAATGTGTAGAAATATATATAGTCTTCTGTAAATACTTTACTACCTATATACTCTACTTTGTAAAGCTTGTTCATGTATTGATTTATTTTGAAGTGTTTATGTACCAAATTAGAAAGCACAATAACAAATTACGTTAAAGCATATTTTATGATACATTATCATAGTGCATCATAAATTCATTTTTATATTCTTCATAATTCCCATCTTACCCACAATATAGAAAACCAGAACATGAAGAATCACTTTATATCTTCATGGTCACAGTATTCAGAATAGTTTCTTTAAGAAGATATTGACTGGTATTTTTGGGAAGATTCTCTAGCCATAGGACACCTCCCTCAGCTCTGTCCCATTTCTTCTTTCTGTCTTCCTTTTACTCTTAATCTTCCCAAGCCTTCTTTGACTTCTGTCATTGTACTTGAGTCTATAACACAAGAGGGGACTGTGCTGATGCTGAACCAAAGCAGAAAAATCTGAGGAAAGGTCCAGAACAAACTAGCAGCCAAAGAGAAACCATTTAGAAGGCTATTGAGAAGCCTCTTAACTGGCCTGAGTTCCTTTCTGTGCAGCCTATGTGCCAGAAATGGGATCCAGTTTCATTAAGAGTGCTTGTACTTAAAATGTACCTTTTTAATCCGAGTTTAACATGGAACCATCATAAATAGGCCATTTTGTATTCTGGTGGTCTGTGGTTAATTGTGTAGGAGTCAAATGTCTCTTAGTAGGTGGTAAGGGAAAGACATATGTATTGTCTTCTGTGGGAATTATCTGGTTATTCAGTGAAGGAGATGAATACTTTGTGTTACTTAGAAAGGATATAGGGTAGAGACTTATAGAAGTCTACCATGGATACATGCTATTCCTAGTTCTATACCCTTGATGTTCTCTAATGGAAAGCTTTCAAGACCATCTCCAAAAATGTCTGCTTTCATTTTATTTATTTGAACTGGCTGTTTCCAGTGAACTGTGGCCCGCTTCCTAGGCAGAGACCATGCAATAGTTTATGCCCTCTAAAAGCTTTGAGTATTCCTGTTGTTCAGGGAGTAGCATGTAAGCCCTGGGAAATGGTATTTAAACAAGCTCAACTTGACCATGATCACTAAACAAAAGCCATCACTGGACATGGGCAGCCACTTTAGGTAACCATCATTCGGATAGATACTCTGGAGAGTCACTTCCCTAGGGCTACCAGGCATGAATGGAAAGATGTGACTACGGCTTTTTGCCTCAGTAGGCTGTTTTTTTAAAGCCTGCGCATCATTAATTTCTTCAGAAAAATTTGTGAGCACACCATGAAAAACAAAGAGATGGTTCCTTAGAAATGAATTTGTTCTCAGAAGTATTCCCAAGCCTTTCTTTTAAGATTCCAAATTTAGTTCTGGGTAGTTGAGACCATATTAGAATATCATTGAAATTATTTTTATATTTTCTTATAACTCTGGAATTTTTATATTTAATTGAAGTTTTTTAATTAAGATAAAATTCATATAGCATGAAATTCACCATTTTAAAGTGTACAATCACTGGTTTTGTTGTACAAGCATTACCACTATCTAATTCCAGGACATTGCTATCACCCCAAAAAGAAACCTCATATTTATTATAATAGGTCCCAATTTCTTCTTCTCCCATCCTCTGGTAACCACTAATCTATTCTCTGTCTCTGTGGATTTATCTACTCTGAACATTTCATATAAATGGAATAATGTAATATGTGGC